ACAAAATGGAGAAAATGAGTTAAACTCTTGCCTGGACAACTCGACATGTCTGCTTCAAGTTCTTAGCAACTGAGTCAAATGCAAATTAAGAGCGAGTTATGAGGATAGCTCCATCTATGAAATCGTACTAACTCACAAATCACGTTTATATAGATAATAGAGAGGCCAAATTTTCTATGTACTGACGTATTATGTATATACACATTTTTTTATTTTTTTTTTCGGTTTATATTTTCTTAAAATATAGTTACCGAGCCATTCGATTTATATTTTCTTAAAATTTCAATTTTCGTTTTGATTTGTGATATAAGTGAAACTAATAATACGAACATTTACACCAAGTAACAAACATAAGTATGAGAAACTTTATTATTATTGACAATCCAAAGTAAATAAATTTCACATATCTTTTATTACAACAGTTGAATTAACACCAAGAGCAATGAAACCGCAAGCACACATATAGATTGCATTATTACAAACATCGTCAGTCAATCAGTACTTTGTACAACACCAACAACCACAAAGTACTTTTTATTAATCTTTACTTAAATAATAAATTACAAATTTCATCATGATCATATTCTTCATTAATGTCCGAGTTTCATTGATCAACCGATGGTTGGGGCACGAACTACGACACCACGACCATCGACCCAAACCCAAACACGGTCGCACCTGAAGTCTTGAATCACGGGGGTCCCCTCTCTTACAACAATTGCATTCACTCTCGTATTTTCGCTCTCTATCACCTTTTCAGCATCCGCTCCATTTCGCCCCACCAATTCCGGCCAAGAATTCTTCCCTATACGTAATATTAAATAAATTAAATAAATGTATAATAGGTCACCATACGTAATATATTTAAAATGACTTAAGGAATATGAATGAATGTTTAAATAAAAAGATGTTTGAAAAAAATGACAAGACATAGAGATGATGTGATAGAGAGAGTAATTTATGGTTAAATGAATAGATGAATACATATTCTCTTATAATACTAACTTAGAATCAAATAATTCCAAAAAAACGACGGCCTCCACAAATCCACAATTAGAGTTGTTAAATTAACCAAAAAGTTTGCTCGTTTGTTTACTTAAGCAAGCGGAACTTGACGAGTAAGTAACTCGAGCTCGTTTACTAAACAAACTCGAAAGTCTGGTTACAAACAACTCATATTTTTATTGGTTTTAGATTAAATGGAACAATCGAGTTGATCTTATTCGCGAAGAATGGACATTTCGTGGTAGCAATCAACTAATTTGAAATTCTAGCTAGGTTTTATGAAACGAGCCAAGTTTTCACGAGTTTAAACGAGCGGATCGGAGCTAGCCAACTTGTTTATTAAACAAATACGAGTTAAAACGAGATTTGTTAATTCGATTGGACTTAGACTCAAACAACACAATGCATATCCACAAATAGCAATAACTAACAATCATTGCCCTCCATGGGAATCATAAAATTAGGAACAAAATGGAGAAAAAAATGAGTTAAACTCTTACCTGGACAACTCGACATGTCTGCTTCAAGTTCTTGGCAACTGAGTCAAATACTAATTAAGAGCGAGTTATGAGGCTAGCTCGGTCTAGAAATCGTACTAACTCGCTCACGACCCACGTTTATATAGATAAATAATAATAGAGGGGCCATATTTTCAAATGTGCTGACGTATGTATGCATATATAGACGCCGTAAATTATGACCTGTATTCTTTGTTACCTTATTGTTGATCAGCCGGGTCAATGGTCAAACCTAGCCATCAGCCTGACACGTGGAGATATAATGCACAGACTATTCTCCTCTTTAATTAATTAACTAGTGCAATAATACTCGTATATTACATGGGTGCTTGTTAAAATAATATCCTTAAATTTCAAAATTAATAAGAAAATTTATTTTAATTTTATTTACTTTTTTACAAAACATATATATTATTATATATTTTAAAATGATAGTTGTTACTTGTCCAACTTACATGTGTTATATTATAGTAATTTTTACAACTTATATCATATAACTACTTGAAACATAAAAAATTTAATTGATAAATAGTTTTATTTTTCTAACTAATGTTAAAAATAATTTTATTATTGTTATAAAGATAAATATAATTTATTTTTTCTCATACATACAATATGGATGTTATCCGTTAGTTCATAAAGAGATGATTAATTGATATATTATATATGTAAAACTGATAAAAAACACAAAAGTTAATAATTTTTAAAATACATTTACAATTCAATGGTTATAATAAGAAATGATATTAAAATGCAATTAATCCATGCAATATAACCATAAATAATCAACATATATATGGATAATCAGAACCTAATTACTTTTAGATTGAAAATGAATTAAAATCTATCCAAGCTTAATAACGAAAACATGTAATTTTACCACAGAAGATCCCGAATCATGCGAGTCTACCACTTAAGTTCAGCACGTTCTGAACTAATATATAGGGGAGAGGGATAAAGGGGGGATTGAATTGTATAAGTATTATTTTAGACTATTCTCCCCTTAATTAATTGATTGAATTTGTCTAAGTCTTAGTTTATTTTATTTGTGGATATTTTTGACTTTGGATCGGTTCGGCCCATCTGTATTACCTATGAATTCTCAACTATTCTGTTTTGATTCGAAATGAAGAAAAAGAAAGGAAGAAAACGTGTACCCAAAAAAAAAGAAGAAGAAAACGTAATATGCCCACTGTTATTTCGATCCTTTCTTAACAAGCTTCGTCCTTTCGATCGAGTTCACAACATTATTTTAAGGCCTAATTGCACCAAAAACCCCCACCTTTAGCTTAATTGCAAATAAAGCTCGAGTTTTTTAAGTTTGCCAGTAAATACTTGACCTTTTTGATTTGTTGCAAAAAAAACTCCGATGGATTTTCCGGCTGCTACCTTGATGAGTTGGCCGGCCAGATGCTGATTTGGCAGGTAAAAATTGACGTGGCTCTCCATTAAATTAAAACATATATGCTGATATTACACTTAATTTCCATTTCATCAAATTCTAATTTCCCAATTTTTCTTTCGTTCCCTAATCCTTAACCCATCGATCGATCTCCTTCCTTCACAGAAGCTCGAAACTTGAACAATGTCGGAAACCATATCGTAAATCAATCCTAGATCGATCGAGATCGAGAACTCCTCCAAAAAAAATTAGAAACTGAAGCTGGAAAAATTGAAAAAAAATTCAATGAACCCTAGGAAAGAAAAATTTAAGTGTAATATGACCGGACAAGGTATGGAATATGATAGATTTGGTTTTAAGATTTTACGTTAGGGATTAGGGAACGAAAGAAAAATTGGGAAATTGGAATTTGACGAATTGAAAATAAGTGTAATATCAACATATATGTTTTAATTTAATAGAGAGCCACGTCAGTTTTTACTTGTCAAATCAGCATCTGGCCGGCCAACTCATCAAGGTAGCAGCCAGAAAATCCATCGGAGTTTTTTTTGCAACAAATCAAAAAGGTCAGGTATTTACTCGCAAACTTAAAAAACTTGAGCTTTATTTGCAATGAAGCTAAAGGTGAGGGTTTTTGGTGCAATTAGGCCTTATTTTAATTACACATATTTTTTTTTTTTTTTTTT